GTTAGCATATTGAGCGAACGTACAAAACAGGTGGATAATGTGGATAATATAAACAGAGCCAAATGTTCCCTATCACATTAATATTGGATTAGGTTTAAATGATATTTGTTGATTGTCAATATATTAGATGTCATTGATGTCATATTATTGATGTCAGTGTTTACAGTATTAGATTATGCAAGTAATTGTTATCTGATAAATTATTTATTGTTTATTCATTTATTTCTGGGGTGACATGCTGTCGCCTCATAGAAAGAAGGTTGCTGGTTCGAGCCCAGGCTGGGTCAGTTGGTGTTTCTGTGTGAAGATTGCAATTGTAGGTGATTTGGGTAAGTTAAATTGTCCGTACACTCTCAGAAATAAAGGTATGCAAGCTGTCACAGGGGTGGTACCTTTTGAAAAGGTACAAATTTGTACCTAAAAGGTCCATATTAAAATCTCAAGGGGACATATCAGTATCTAAAAAGTACAAAAATGTTCCTCTTAAAATTTTAAGATACTAATATATACTTTTAAGGTACCCTTCAAGTACAAATTTGTACCTTTTCAGAAGGTACCACCATAGTAACAGCTACCTTTATTTCTAAGAGTGTAGTGTATGTGTGTATGTCCTGATCCTCCAGGTTGGGGGTTGAGCGTTGGGCTAACAACCCACCTCCTAAAAAAACTAGATGTTACAAAACACCAATATTTTGCAGCTAAATATCAACTTCGATGTGGGAGTAAGTAAGTAAGTAAGTAATTTATTTCTGACATATGCTTTATACATTGAGCACAATTACTTTTTTCTTGGAAAAAACACAGGAGACATTTCAGGCACACCAACATTAAGGTGAAAGCAAGAACAGCGTAAAGAGCCAAGTGAGCTTCAGTAGAAGAACTTAAAGGGGTGGTTCACTACCAGAGATGTATAGTAACGAAGTAGAACTACTTCACTACTGTACTTAAGTACTAAAAGGCAGTATCTGTACTTTACTGGAGTATTATTTTTTTCTCCTACTTCCACTTTTACTTAAGTACATATTTTACATGAGTTTAATACTTTTACTCCGATAGATTTTTTATGTGCTGCATCGTTACTCGTTACTAGGGGTGTCAAAATGATTGATATCAGTTCATTAATAGGTCATACCCGGTTATTACGTGATGACGTCATTTATCTCCTATGCGCGATGTCGCAATACTATGGCGGAGGACGGAGGCGCGAGGGCGAGGCGGCACAGCATACCAGCCGCTAGTTTACTATTATTAGGGAGAAATGTTGCAAAACTTCACCTCTGCCTATCTCTCGCTCTCTCACTTTGGACATTTGACCCGCTGGTCAGTTTGTAAGGTAACTTTTCCTCTCTTCTTAGCTGTTAAAGCTGTGGATCCAGACATGAGCGTGCCAAGTTTTCTCCACTGTGTCTATTACCTGTGATAATCGCGTATTCTTCCCGCCATGGGTGAACAGCGCTTATATTTCTAAAGCCCTTTCTGTTGAGGACAATAACCAATCATAGCCGTGTAAGACCCGCCTGTCAGCGCTCAAAAAGCAGGCGGGATAATATTGACATGAGTTTATTAGCTGTAAATGCTCGTGCTGTCTTCTGTGCATGAGTTTTGCTTGATACATCCAGAAAGAGTGTTTTCTTTGAGCAGGTCAAATTGAGGGCACAGTTCGTATATCTGACTGCTGTATTAAAGGACGAAATTTATTACAAAAACTCCTTTAACTGTCACACCAAGACAAAAGCAATAGAATTTTTTTGATTGCATTTCTTAACTCCTAATGTCGCTATTTAACACAATCAGTGCATTTTTATTCAACACATCACATTATTTCTAAAATATCAGCCTCTACCAAATGGTTGAGATGTTGGTTTATGGTAAAAGTACCAGAATTAATAAATATACTACAGAAAATATGAACTATAAGACCAATTTCATTAAAAACATAATAAAAATAAATAAAAATTATTACTAAATTATAGCCATAAGCCACAAAATATTTCAGATTTTCATTTAACAGAGTAATATACACATTTTCCTGTTTTTTTACAATAAAATCAAAATCAAGTGAACTTGTGAAGCAGGATTTAGTTTGCTTGTTTAGTTTAAAGCTTTTGATTTTAAAGCAATTAAACTTCAAAACTCCCAAAGTGTGAGTGTGTCATTGTGTGTGTGTGAGTGAGAGTGAATAATGTGTAAGAGAAAACAACAGTGTGATTGTACCTGTGTGTGCGTATGTGTGTAAGAGAGAGTGTAAAAACAATTGCAACCTATATAATGTCCCCACAATTCACAAAAATGTGTGTGTGTGAGAGAGAGAGATAGAGAGAGAACTGTGTGTGTGAGAGTGTATGAATGTGTGAGAGTGGGGAGAGAGTGTACATTTAGGTGCGTGCAGGGCAGTGTGTGTGTGTGTGTGTGTGTGTGTGAGAGAGAGAGAGAATGTATGTGAGTGAACATACTGAATTATCTCATCAGTGAAGGTATTTTCTGGTAAAAGGGCCTGACGATGTGAGCTCTTGTACCATATAAACTATTTACAGAGAAAAACAGTATCGTAAGCCATGTTTCTTTTCGTTCTGCTTAATCAAGTACCCCAAAAAGATATTTAAAATAAACAAAACAATTAGTGTATTTTGACTGCTTTCTTTAATAACTACATTACACAATACTTGTACTTTTACTTTCAGTACTTGAGTAGTAAATTTTGAAATAAACTACTTGTAATACTTAAGTACAAAAAATGTTGAATACTTTTTTACTTCCACTTAAGTATGGTGCTTAAAGAGCACTTCTACTTCTACTCAAGTCAATTTTTGATAAAGCACTTGTACTTTTACTTAAGTATGGGTCTCTAGTACTTTATACATCTCTGTTCACTACAATATTATATATTAAACTTATTGTATAATATATTCATGTTTAATGTAGCTGTGTAATACATTAATGTGTAATGTAGCTGTGTGAACATAAAAAAATCTCTGAATGTAAGATGCTCAAAGTTCACTGCAAAGGGAGACCTTAGATTTGACATTGTTAGCTTAGCAAAGCCTTCAGCGTATGGATTTGGAGGCTACAAAAAAACCCCAAAACATATATATATATATATATATGTATATATATGTATATATAAATATATATATATATATATATATTTGTTATATATTTGTATGTTTTGGGTATATGTTTTGGTTTTTTTTTGTAGCCTCCAAATCCATATGTTGTTGTGCCTGAAATGTCTCCTGTGTTTTTTCCAAGAAAAAAGTAATTGTGCCCAATGTATATAGCATATGTCAGAAATAAATTACTTACTTACTTACTCCCACATCGAAGTTGATATTTAGCTGCAAAATATTGGTGTTTTGTAACATCTAGTTTTTTTTAGGAGGTGGGTTGTTAGCCCAACGCTCAACCCCCAACCTGGAGGATCAGGACATACACACATACACTACACTCTTAGAAATAAAGGTAGCTGTTACTACGGTGGTACCTTTTGAAAAGGTACAAATTTGTATAATTAAAGTTTTCAAAAAAATGCTATTTCCCATTCTCTGCAATCATCTCCATCAATCAGCTGTTGTGTGATGTGCAGTCTGGCGCAATATGGCTGCTGTTGCATAATCCAGGTGGATGCTGCACACTGGTGGTGGATGAGGAGATTCCCCCCAATGAGTAAAGTGTATTGAGTGTCCAGAAAAGTGCTATATAAATGATAGAAATTAATATTATTATTATTATTAATTATTTTTTAATATTATTATTATTATTATTTATTCACCCTTAACTTGTTCCAAACCTGTAAACCTGAGTTTATTTCACATACAGTAGGTATTTTTGTATATTGGTCACTAAGCAGTTGATGTTGTGCAGTAAAAAGATTCTTTGCAAGTCAATGGGTATAGGCTTATCAACTTTCATTCTTCAAAATATCTTCTTGTGTTCAACAGATGAAATAATCTCTTACACGTTCGTAGGACGTAATGGGTGGTAAATTATTACAGAATCATTTACTGCGCCTTGACACAAAACTTGTCCTGGAAGCTGGAGGTGTATAGACAATCCCTTAGCTCTCATGACATGATTTGTGACATGGCCCCTATACTCTCATTCACAGCTCTCTACATTAGCCCACTAATATAGACCATTTTAAGGAGCAAATAAAAATAAGTGTAAATTCAAGCACTTTTGTTTGTGCTTTTGCTGGTTGATAAAACCTTCAGATGAATTAGATTCTTTTTGTTAATTGTGAGAAAAAAAATGCATAAAACTAAAAGCATCCTGTCTGGTACATTTAATTGATTCATTTGTTTTCATTTACTCCTTCAAGTGGACTAATGTAGAGATATGAAACTAGGTTTTAGAGGACAACTTTAATGTTTAGATAAAATCTTGAATTACCACTTCGAGTACACTATATCGCCACCTGCTGGTATGACAATGTAATGATCTCCAGAAACGTCCACGGGACTACGTTTTCAGAATGAGCCTGGGTTGCACATAGAGAAACCAATTTACAGACTGCACAGTAAAATAGTACAATGAACATGTCATGACACCACATGATTGTATGTCATTCTAATTGATGAAAGCATGTTTTGTACAAGATTTAAGAAAATGGTTTAGGTTAATGTTATGTAATAATATAAAACATTACTAATAAAAAAATCTCAAGACTTTCAGGAACATTAAAAAAAAACTGATTTTCACAGATAAAAATTAACCAAAATATAGCTTTAAAATTATGAAAGACAGCCTATTCATTATTCTGTCCATTTCAGGGATTCAGAGTCAAGCTTTTCCTGCACAAAATTAAAATGAAACTAAAGATTTTCTGGAACATTCAAGCAAAAAAAAAAAAAAAAAAAAAAAAAACACATTTTTCACAGATGAAAATAAACCAAGCTTCAGAATTATGAAAGAATCTCTATTCACTATTCTGTCCATTTCAAGCATGGAAAGGGTGGCGCTTTCCTCCACATTTCATTTGGAAAAAAAAAAAAAAAAAAAACATAGACATGTGATAAAGATTGCCATACCTCTGACAATACTCACAATATCTGCCTCATCCTGAAAGACTTGGCAACTGCGAGCCTGCAAACAAGGTAAAAAAAAAGAGTCTTTGTTATCATTCATTCAACCAGTTCTGTCCAAAGCTAAATGTTTACTAAAATGTTTATAGGTTTAAGATAAGTCTGTTATTCTAACTACTGTAATTTAAGGTTTGTAAATGTGAAGAGTGCACCTATAGTATTGTGTCACATTCCATGTAACAGTGGACATCTGTCAGGTATCTCATTAATGTATTTGTTAATTTAAATTACTTGTAACAATCTCAAAGAAATCTTTACATGATCACATTTGAGCACTGTTGCAGCTGACATAATATTTGATGATCTATTAAAAGGACTATAGGCCATCATTGATATTTATTTGCTTATCATTGGTTGTCTTAGCTTGGCACTTTTAATAACGAATGCTTCTTCTATAACTGAATTTATAAGCTTCATACAAATGATTGATGAAGGTGTTTACAAAATGATCTATTGGCGAACTATTATCTAAAGGGGCTGATCATACTGAGATTTACCCATGTATGGACATTTGAGTATGATGACTGTTGTGCCTCTTAAAAATATGTAGAGTTCCAGGGTTGTAAACAGTACTTAGGAATATAGCTGATTACAAGTACATATACTTATTAAAATATTACTCAGTTAAACAAGTATCTTGTCCAAGGTATACCTGAATAAATGTTTTAAAAGTACAGTTTTAAATTGTATATACACTAACTATTAGAAAAAGTAACCTATAAAAAAATGTAAAAACAGAAGAGATTTTTGCTTGTCGAATCATTTTCTAATGCAAGATGAAATAAATAGTATATATGATTGTCAAAAATACATACAAAGTAATCTAGAAATACAATGGTAACACTCAAAAACATTTTAAATTCCTACAATTACAAGATGCAATACAAAGAAAAACAAAATGCAGCCCTTTAAATTGAAATGATTTCATCATTTACACCCTCATGACTTTTAATGTATGAGTTTTATTCCTGAAAAAAAGTTTCTGCATATTCCTTGTCATCATTTCTGTATGTAATTATTTGCTATTGATGAATTAATGAGCAAGGCACCGACAGCCCTAATTGTCACTAAATGCATAAGCACACATATATACAGTTGCAGTCAGAATTATTAGCCCCCTTTGAATTTTTTCTTAAATGTTTCCTAAATTATGTTTAACAGAGCAAGGGAATTTTCACAGTATGTCTTATAATATTTTTTTCTTCTGGAGAAAGTCTTATCGGTTTTATTTCGGCTAGAATAAAAGTAGTTTTTAATTTTTTATGGAACATTTTTAAGTTATTAACTTTAATTATATTTAATACTTTAATAATTATCAAAATTATTAGCTCCTTTCAGCTATTTTTTTCAGACTGTCTACAGAACAAACCGTTATTATTTAATAACTGGCCTTATTACCCCAACCTGCCTAGTTAACCTTATTAACCTACTTAAGCCTTCAAATGTTTAAGTGTCTTGAAAAATATCTAACAAAATATTATTTACTGGGTTACTTTTATTGTCATCGTGGCAAAGATGAAATAAATTTGTTATTAGAGATGAGTTATTAAAACTAATATGTTTAGAAATATGTTGAAAAAATCTCTTCGTTAAACAGAAATTGGGGGAAAAAAATAAACAGCAGGGCTAATAATTCTGACCTTATATAAATAAATAAATAAATAAATAAATAAATAAATAAATATATATATATATATATATATATATATATATATATATATATATATATATATATATATATATATATATATATATATATATATATATATATATATATATATATATATATATATATATAAACATCATTGGATCTAGCATGTTAACAAAAGATATTTGCAAATTTAAAGTGCAACAGATGGAAGAAAATATAACATAAATGTAAAAATGCGGCAAATTCAAAAGATTATAAAATTCTAAGTGCACCTCACACAGGTGAGTGGGCTTGACAAACCACCTGCAGAAAACTCTTAAATTCTGTGTCTTAAACTGACACATGCACCGGTATTTGTACATTTTCACCAGACACTTTCTTAAAAACTAAATAAAAAAATACAAAAATATTGTGCATTTATCACTTAGGTGAGTGGGCTTGACAAACCAGCTGTAGAAACACAGTTTTCCCTATTTAAAATCATAATAAAAATACCCCCCCTTCCTAACTCTAGCCATTAGTTCTTTGAGGAGTAACAGTTCCTTTGTATAATTATAAAACCTATTGTGTGGATTGCCTCTCCTTGTTGAATCGCTGAATGCCTCCTCAATTGTAATTCACATTGCACAAAAGCATCTGCTAAATGACTAAATGCTAATGTAAAAATTGAATCAAATAAATTTGTATAACCTAACAAATCTTTTATAACCTAAAGATCTAAATTATCCAAAATTAATAATATTGTAAAACTGAAGTAAGAAAGTAAAACTGAAGTTTTAAGACTGTAATTTCTTTAGTCTTCACAAAAGGCAAAATTTCTATAGATATACGTAAAATTATTAAGTTTGTGCTAGTTTGATACTTATTAAATACTATATAACAATTTATTGCATATATTCATCATTCAGTCTTTAAACATGGACAAGAAGTTGGACCTGTCCAGGCTGTCAGAAGAAGAGGCCAAGCATGTGTGGGAGGTCATTCAAAGAGACTTTGTCCTCCGGAAGAAGGAAGAGGAAAGACTTGGGTGAGGATTTAATTTAAATTTTAAACCTTAATGTTATCATATAGATTAGAGTGACTTTATTTAACATCGTCTAACACTTCTTAATTGAGTAAATTTATTCTGGTAGTGGAGCCAGCCTGCAATAGTGTGGGTGGTTCAGTGTTCATATTTGCATTTTTTCAACACATCATAGTTTTAACAGTGACATAAGTTTATGAGAAATGCGACCACGTGTGAAAGCCCAGTGTTGTAAAGACATCATGATGATCATGGTACAGTCACAAGGCCCGATCACACCATTCCACTGGCTGGGAAAACATGATGCCCCAGAGCTCCATTCTCTTCGCACAAGGAGGTCTTCTGTTTGGCTTCTGAATTGTTTTTTACTCAAATGTTCTTTTCGATTTGTTGACAAGGACGGTTATATACTGTGCGGTTTGGATTTGAATTCTTGATCAGACCATTTTACAACATCCGTTATGCGCTCTGTTTTTTTTCTGTATCGTGAATATACTGGAAGATTCAGTGTAGGACTCTGTGACCAACTGAGCTTTTCAAAGCATTCTATTGTTCAGTGTTCCATGACATTAAAGGACTTTTGATAATAAAATTAGCAATATACTGATATTACGTCTGACTTACAATCTAATAAACTAGTTATTGTTTGTTATGGTTATGCTTTGTATAATTTTATGTAATAGTTTTAGTATGTATAATAATTTATAATTCAAAGTAAATATAAAGATAAGTTAATGGTATTTTACATGAGTTTTAAAGTATTAGGGTTTAAAAATTGTGATAAAGTTCATATTAAAGAAAACTGGATCCTTCTTGTAGAAGAACAGTGTTAGATTGTGCTTCTTCTCTGTGCACACAACCGCTGATATATACAATATGACAATCTATAAACTTAATGTAATTATTATTTAATGGTTGAATGAATGAATGAATGAATGAATGAATGAATGAATAATGTACACCGAAGGCATTTTGCAATCATAATAGGTGGTCTCTCCACATCAAAACCAGTGTGCAGCATCCACTTAGATTATATAATGGTAGCCACAGGACAATGGCGCCAGTGCGCTCACTACACACCAACTATTACTGGAATGGAGAGACAGTGTAGGAACCAATTCAGTGGATGGGTAAGAGTCGATAGAGGGAATTTGACCAGGACACTCCGGTTACACCCCTGGTTTTTACAAGAAGTGCCATGGGGTTTTTAATGACCACAATGAGCCAAGACCTTGGTTTAAAGCAGGGGTCTCAAACTCGCGGCCCGCGGGCCATTTGCGGCCCTCAGTGCAATATTTTGTGGCCCGCGCCGACCACTGTACTCTGACAGAATCAGCGGAGCGGGGAGAGAGAGCGCTCCCCGCTCCGCTGATTCTATCCGTACACAGCGCGCTTGTCACCTACTGAAGGGCGGGACCGAGGGTGTGTCGCGTCGCGGGGGCACTTTTGATCATTTTGGAAGGGCACTTTCTATGCAAGACTAAAAAGGGCATGTGCTCTGCACAGGTTGAGCCCTATGTGTGCACGTGCCTGCCCTGCATCTTATATATATTGATATTATAGGTAGATACAGACTGGTACAGTCTGTGACTGGAGTGGGGTGGGGGTGTTTTATTTATACATATATACGCCTTTTTTTTAGGTGAGGGAATGGAAGTTTTGAGTGAGTTCCCCCACTTTTTTCCCTAGGACTTCAATAAGTCAAAGTACAGGTCTAGACTTAATGATGATCATCTTCAAGCCATACTGAGGGTCTCAACTGCTTCCGCTCTAAAGCCAAATGTGGTTCAGATTTGTGAGAAGAAGCGCTGTCAAGTCTCTGGCAGCAAGAAGTAGGCAAAAGATGCCATGTTCAGAAGAACTGTTCATAATCTTCACTCAATGTTCTATTAATGTTCAAGACACTTCATGTTCAGAAGAAATAATTGAAACTGTTAATAATGACATTTGAGGACTTTTTTTTGTGAAATCCCTTACGCGGCCCAGCCTCACCCAGACTTTGCCTCCTGCGGCCCCCAGGTAAATTGAGTTTGAGACCCCTGGTTTAAAGTCTCATTTAAAAGACATCACTCACTGAAAGTATAGTGGCCCCTTTACTATACTGGGGCATTAGGGCTCACACGGACCACAGGTTAAGCACCCTCTTTTGGCCCCACTAACACCACTTCCAACAGCAACCAAGTTTACCCATGTAGTTTCCCATTCATGCACTAACCAGGCTCAGCCCTGCTTAGCTTCAGTGAGTAACCAGTCTTGGTCTGCAGGGGGATATGACAAGGGGAGTCCCTTACCACAATGTTGCAGGCTATAAAACACACAGGATCACTACTGTAAAATATAATCACGAATTCAAAAATGAAAGAAACACCATTAAGGGGTTCCGTTTTGTCAAGTTTACCCTGTTTTCAGCTTAATTGTCCAACATGTTTACAGCAAAAGTCACAGTGTTTTAAAAAAAGCTGTATGAAGCAAATAAAATGAAACACAACGTCACATCATTTGTTTTGGGAAAATGAATGTGTAGTTATCTTTTTTAAGTGAGGTACTGTATAATTTGCTATGCATGAATGAATAATATTTTTGCACTTTTACACATAATAATCCATGATCACATTACACAATACTAAAACTGCACGTGAAAATAACATGTTGTGTATATTTTTGACACCCCCAAAACTTCACAAGTCATGTTTTCACAAGTCATGTTTTTATGGAAGCTGTGCTGCCCCTAGCTCCCCTGTAGCTTCCACCCTGTCTCTTTTAGACTGCTATGGTGTGCATTTTCACTGTTCTTCTAGAGTTTCTAGCAATAACTTTGTTGCGAGCTAGTTCAAGTGGTGCTCGCTGCAGAGCCATTTGAGGAGAGCTGAGCTCCTGCGAGGGGGAGCTTAAGCTTGAGCTCCACCTTTTTGCACTTCTTCTACGAGTGATGTCACTGGGGGTAGGGTTAGGGGTGGGGTTGGTGTACGCAATAAAACAGCTTACAGGAGGAGGAGCGACAGCTCATGCTCCCCCTCGCTGGAGCTCAGCTCTCCTCAAATGGCTCTGCAGCGAGCACCCTCTCAGCTAGTTTCCAGATATGTTCCATCATGTTTATAGGATTCTCCTTCAGAAAAAAAAATATATATATAAAGTGTGCTATAAGCATTCTTTTTTCAAATACAAAGTATGTTGTACTTTTTTTGAATTAAAAAAAAAATTAATTTAGGTATTTCTCAAAAATATATTATTATAATTTCCACTTAACTATACTTGATTTATACAGAGAGAAAAATATATATATATATTTTTTTTAAATTTGGCCTATGGTCTTGTCTATGTTTATCGACATACACATAAAAGTATAATTATGCCCCAAGTATTGTTAGCTTGTGGTTGTTTTTACTCTTTTGATAAAAAAGAAAAAAAATTATTGACAAACCCACAATAGTAAATACTATGTTTCAGAGACAAGGCTTGAGGCTTGTACCAGGTTAAATTGCATGTTGGAGCTGTCTTAATGGAAAATAACTTGCAGTTACATATCAAAAAAAAAAAAAAAAAAACTCAATGACCTTGTTTTGTCTCAGAATGTACACCAGTAATGTGCTTATTTTTTTTTTTTTATAAATGCTACGTAAATACCCCAGTTTAACTAAGGTCTTCCATAATGGTGGGGGGGGCACACTTGCAACAAGAGAAATTTTCTGTATAATTCAAATAATATAGTAATAATTAATAAAAATACAACTATTTAGTGTAAATTGCATGTGCTAAATTGGAACAACCTCAAGCATATATATTCCTATGTATATTCCTGTGAAAAGTTATTACATGCTTGATTAGTAATATTGAAGTGTACTTTATTTCTATTAAATATAATAATTTATCTATTAATTCTATGCATTAGAAAATACATTCTGAGTGTCTTCGAAACCCACAAGCTTTACATCATAAATGGACTATTCACGGGCTCGGGTTCGAAAGACCCACCCCTCCATAACAAAGGTCCAGAATTTGTCCCATACATGAGCTCATTTGTCCAGTTTTGACTGCTACACCATCATAAACTGTGAAAATAACCTACTGAAAAAAGCTTTAAGACCAAGCCAATTCATTTGTTGACCGTCACATTAATGTGACAAATGCTTTTCTTTAAACGAAAAATGGCTGATAAAAAGGTGTGAAGGACTAAAATTGGCCCATATTGAAATGCATTTGAATAAAAAATATCTCTCATAATTCAATGTTTAAAAATGAGGCAAATAACTACAGAAAGGTCAACATTTTGAGAAAAAAGAACCACCCCTTACACCAGGCTGGCTACGGACCTGATTTGTATATAAATGCATACTGAATGTTCTGAAATAACATCTTATATTCTTATAAGAATTAATCTTATTCCAAATTGTCTAATGCAAATTGTCTTTGTCTTAACTTACGCACTATTCATAGTGGTAAAATAAATCGCTAAGTACACTTGAATAAATATGAATGCTTCTTTTTCATAAGGGTCTGGTTTTATTATCTCAATGTTTTTAGCTTCATGGAAGGTCAACTACTTTACAATGCCTGTTTTGCTGCATGAGAGGGCTTATTGTCCTATATATAAATGTATAAATTGCTGGCTGACTTGGTGATGCAGGGAAGAAACCACATGGTGCAGAAGGAGGTTCCGATAAATATTTTCATGAACTTTGCCATGTAACTGTATAAGTAGCAAAACACATCAAACATTACACTTCCTCCTCTGCCTTTCACTGACATCAGCACATACTTTGGGTTCAGTCAAAGTTCCTTTAAGGCAAGTCATTTATTTTTGTGGCCGTCTTTGAAACAGATCTTGGGCATGCAAATGCAGCTCCTTGTAGTTTTTTATTTGCCCAAGCTAATATGCATGAGGGGGTGGTATGGTGGAACAATGGTTAGCACCGTCACCGAACAGAAAAAAGGTCACTGGTTTGAGTCCTAGCTGTGTCAGTTGGAATTTCAGTGCATGTTCTCCCTGTGTTCACGTGGGTTTCCTCCAGGTGCTCCGGTTTCCCCCATATTCCAAGGAAATGCACTATAGGTAAATTTAATAAACTGATAGGAGTCTGCGTGTGTGTGAATTTGAATGTGAGAGTGTATGGATGTTTCCCAGTACGAGGTTGCAGCTGGAAGGGGAACCACTGTGTAAAACTTATGCCAGAATACTTGGTGGTTCATTCCGTTGTGGTGACCCCTGATAAATAAGCGATTAAGCCAAAGGAAAAAGAATGAATAATATGCATGAATACTCAAAAGGAACGAGATCCCGATACCAACCTTCTTTATACCTGTTTCTGGAGGTTACGATCAACCTGATAGTATTTTAAGTTTTGCCAGTTTATTGGCTAATTCGTAGGAATTTGTATGAGTCCAGTCGTACGAAATTGTATGTTTTTAAAAAGGAGGCGTGGCACCTAACCCCATCCCTAAACCCAACCGTCATTGGGGGATGAGCAAGTTGTACTAAATTGTACGAATTCATACAAATTAGCTAATGAATCCAAAATTTACGAATTGCCGTGAGATTGTGTTGGACATTCTGTCAATCATGCTATATGTAAGAATCAAACACTTAAATGTTACACAATATCATCCTCTGAATAAAGCCAAGGCCGATTGCGTAGGTTTTTTGACGTAATTTCCAATTTATTAACCCAAAATGACAGCAACATCTTTGTTTACTCACATTTGAAAAGTGGGTGAATGTATGAAATTTCATATGCAGCCATTCTCTTTGATTTCGAGTCATTCTCTTTATTTCTTTATCTTCTACTGATCGATGTTAGCTCACCAAAATAGCTAACTGCAAATCATCCTCCTCTTTCAATAATTATTGCCAATAAATATGCCCCTCATAACAGGTGCTGGTGCTCCAATAGCAAAAGTTGATACTGACATGCTTAAAGTGCACCTGTGCTTTAGATCATGCACTTAGATCTTTAAAATAGAGCCCTATGAATCTGAAAGAAGCTTGTAGATTTTTGTTGTCTCTGACTGTTTGTATTATACTGCAGGGAACTTAAAACTAAGATTGAGAAGGAGGAAGCTAAGAGGGAACTCCTGGGCTCTCAATCAAACCTGAGTGAGTCTCACTGCATCCGCTGCCTGCAGCCCTTTAAGTTCCTGGTGAACAGCAGACGGCAGTGTGTGGACTGCAAACTCTTCACCTGCAAGACCTGCAGCCGCTACAACAAGAACGAGCATGGCTGGGTGTGCGACCCCTGCCGCATGTCCAGGTTAAGAAAGATTACATTACATTACAGAAATTGTCCATGCACATTCCATTTGGTTTGAAGGTGATGTTATGTTTTGATTTCTACAGATTTTCCCCAAAAATAATGATTTGGAATTTATATATTATTTTTTATTATTATTCATTTATTTTTTTATACTTATTAATAAATGTGATTTCATTCTGTTAGTGAGCTATAGACCAATTCTCTCTATTAAAGTACAAATGAAATCAAAACTAACCAGATGATTTTGTTAGCTTACTTTGCTAGTTTTGTGGTGAACAATTAATCTGTGTGTGTCATTAAGAAAAAAAAAGGGTTTGCCCTTGTAATCTTTAATTGAATTCTGAAAATGCACTTCCTGTTTTTTTATTTTTATTTTATTTTTTTAGTTAAATTCTCAGATTACGTTTGTCTGAGGTGTTAGGTAGGTTAACCACGCCCCTCCAACTGTCAGTTTTGACAACAAACAGAAAAAGTGAGAAGGGGGTGTTATGTGGCAATAACAATACACAGCAAGCATTTTTTGTTTTTAAAAGATGTCTAGTAGACGTCTAATAGATGTCTAAACAGTCGTCTTGGCTAAACAAGGCTAAATTTAGGTTGTCAGTGAAAATCTAGTAGACATCTAAGAATAGTTCAAAACTAGACTTGTCACCAAATAAACAGAAATGAATGACTACACATATAAAGTCTGTCTAATCTGTTTATTTGACGACTAATCTAGTTTTGGGCTATTCTTAGATGTCTATTGGATTTTCACTCATATAGCCCAAGTTTAGCCTTGTTTTAGCCTAGCTGTATATATGTAGATGTCTATTAGAAGTCTATTAAACACAAAATTGTTTGCTGGGTAGTATCTGTATGCAGCCTATATGATGCAAGCTGAGAGTGTTGTGACTAATGCACTCAGTGGAGCTAGTGACGTCACTGTGAGGGGTAGGGTTGGGGTGGGGTTAGGTGAGTGCATTGAAATGCATTGGATGCAGCTTAGATTGCACTGCATTTAGACCCCTCTCTCGGTGATAAACCCATTTCCCAATCTGTCTGAATGAAATTCCTACTCTGGTCCTCAAACTGAAGTTTTAGTGCATGGTGTAAATTAGCATAGGGTTTGTCATTATTTAATTACATTTCACTTGTTTTAAACCTGTTTGAGTTTCTTTCTTCTGATGAATTCAAAAGGAGATGTTGGAAACTTATAAGCTCCGACTTTCGTAGTATTTTTTCCCCATGTTGGACGTCAGTAGTAAATATTTCCCAACATTTAAAACTCTTTTTAATATTAAAGATTTGGAACCACTTGAGTGAGAATAAATTGGGATTAAATGTAATTTTTTTTTGGCTAACTAATCATTTAATTGGCCTGTATTTAAAATATTTAACCAGTTTACTGATAGATTGATTAATTTATTGGACAAAAATGTTAAAAAAAATAAATAAATAATGAAATAAACGTATTTCTAATTTTTTTTGCAGAGTACTAAAAATCGGAACTTTAGGATGGTACCACGACAACGTCCACTCCCGCTTCAAGCGTTTTGGCAGTGCAAAAGTGATGCGGTCCCTGTACAAGAGATTAAATGAAGAGGGTGAGTGCTATTAAAAGCCTCTTGATAGCCTTTATTGTGTCCACATTGAGGCTGTCACATCATCATGCTGGTTCCATATCACTAGTCATTTTAAGTAGTTACGCAACCAAGTGGGTGTAAAGTAATTTAGAGATAGTATACAGACAGTCTGTCATTTTTGCGAAATAAACCCTGATGTGGTGATTAGAGTTCAGAATAGGGGTTTTATCACCATAAATTACTTTATTTTATGATAATGACAGACAGACTACTTACATTATCCCCTTTATAGCAGTTACTCACTAAATAAATTTGGTTTACAGTCTACATTTTGACTCAAAGTTATGAAATATGTCGTTATTATAAAGGAAAATTCAAAATGATTAAAGTCATAATTTTACAAAATTGTGTATTTTATTTTTTTACTTGAATTTAATTTAATTTAATTTAATTTAATTTAATTTAATTTAATTTAATTTAATTTTGCTGAAAGAATACATTTATACAGTATTACCTCCAAAGTTCCAATAGAAAAAAATAACTTGTGTGGCACATCACAGCATATTTTGTAATCATTTGTGAAATAAAACAAAAACTTTCATCATCTCAACAAGAATTTAACATGTAGTAAATATTATGTAGCTGAAGCTTATATGCACTGCCTTTCAAGTGAAGAAATGGCTATTATTACAGTATGTTTGTGTTTATTTAGTTACCAAGAGAATTTGTTTATCATTCAATTCAAAGCACTCTGTCCAGAGGCTGAGGCCATATCTGGGTCACATGATGTGTCTGGGCCTTTGTAGAACTTACTGATGATATTTATAGCTTTGCATGACAAGACATGTTAAACAGAAGAATGAGAAACTTTGTCTGAATGCACATTAAATGGGGGTGTACAGTAGTTTATTTACTATAAGTTAAACCTGACCACGTTTGGTTTATAGCTAAAAAAACTGTACAAAAATATGTACTGCGGTGTGAAAAAAAGTGTTTGCCTCTCTTTTTGCATAACACTTTAATCTTTTAGATCATCAAACAAATTTAAATATAGTGAAAGATAACACCAGTAAACATGTCATGCATTGGAATTGAAGGTTTTTATTATTAAGGGAAAACAAAATACAAAATTACATAGCACTGTGTGAAAAGTTTTGTCCCCTTGTTAAAACATAACTCTGGATTATCACACCTGAGTTTAATTTCTCTAGCCACACCCACACCTGTTCAGAACCAAGAAATCACTTAAATATGACCGGCCTGACAAAGTTTGACATAGACCAAATTATCCTCAAAAGACAGACATCATGCAGGGATCCAAATAAATTCAAAAATAAATGAAAAAAGAAAATGATTAAGATCCAGTCCAGTCTGGCAAAAAGTTATAAAGCTTTAGGAATGTTGTGACCCACAGTGAGAGCCATCATCTACAAACAGCAAAAACATTGAACAGTGAACAACCCTCCTAGTGGCCAGCTGAGTAAAATTACCCCAAGAGCACAGAAACATCCCATCTAACAGGTCACAAAAGACCCCACAAAAACATTCAAAGAACTGCATGGGCCTGTTTCAGTAAGGAGGTTCAACCAACTCTGAATTAAAACTTGAACTCTGAGATAATTTATCGAGAGATTAAAAACTCAGAGTTTTCGGTTTCAGAACAACTGATCTGAGTTAGGTCAATCAATTATTAGTAGATTAGATTAGAGTTAAACGCTTATAACGTGACTATAAAAAGGCATTATCAACAGAATGCAGATATTATGAGTGACCATGGCTACATCTGAAAAAAGAGATCACGATTTCTTTCTCCAGCTGAACTTGATCTGCTCATGCAAAGTTATAACAAATATGAGCATATATTTTAAAAAGCATTACCACTGCAACAGTGAAACATACAGTTAGCATGGAAAAACAGCTGCTCAAGTTAATGTGTAATTTCACATCTAAAGTATTTAAATATTTAATTATATTAAAAAAGTAATGTAATGTGTGACGTTTATAAAAAAATGTACACACATTCCCACTAAAAGTGCACTTGAGTGTCTACCTTTATTGATCAATTAGTGGAGATTGATATGACATTTAGAATGTAAGCAATACTAAAAAATAGTTTTTAGAACGAATAATAATGCCATTAATCTAGTTATAGTACATGTTAAAGGTCAGTGAATTTAAGCAAATTATTTATTTAAAAAGGACAAGCCATTCTCGTACAAGACTTTGTTCTTTGTGTGACTGAAATGTAGGCAATAGCTGTGTTTCCAAAAAAATAAAAATAAAAATAAATGATTGCGCAAAACTGGAATAAAAAATGTGCGAATAAAGTAGCGCTGCCATTTAACTAATCAAAGAGAACAAAATAGTCACTTCCTGATTAACTGGCAGCAAATATCAACAGTAAAAAACTGAATTTACTGCAGTAGAAGCAGCTGCTTCAATATTTTCTTTATTTAATAAATGTACTTGCGTCTCAGAAGACAATGCTGACACACAATGAACACGTTAGGGCCATGAGACGCGGGGAACATATGCTTTTGACACTCTGGAGGTCATTATTAATATACATTAATACTAAAATGGTAAAGGCGTTTAAGAATGACCAAAACAGCATTTCCGATGTTCTGCAGTGTGCTCAGCCTGCTGATTTGTCCATTCACACATATTTTCATCATCATCTCTAATAATATTCTTTTTTTAATGCAAATATTGGAATTTGTTCAGTAAAAGTGTTTCCATTGCACTTTATGCGCATCTTTTCTTATCGAATAAAAGTTTATCCTACTCAGTTATGCGCATGTTTTATTATGCATATTTTCAAGTGTGCATCATGACGTTTCCATCAATCGTTTTTATCCGCGTATCCAAAATGAGCATTAAAATAGGTGGGTGGAAACGTAAGGCTAAGGCGAGAAATACCGCTTCGTCTTTAAAAAAGGGGAGGAGACCAGTCGAAACTCAGAGTTTAGAGATTAAAGTCTGCTTCTGACCAGGTTAGGTTCACAGAGTAAGTTACCACGATAACTGACTCTGAGTTAAAGTTACTTCTCTTTTAGAAACAGACTTGACTTACCCTGCTTTCTCAAGTTTGATAAACCTGCCATTTTGAAATAGAAAACCCAGAGTTTCTCTCATTTCAGGGTTAAAATACTCTGAGTTTTCACATAACCTCCTTTCTGAAACGGGCCCCTGGTCTCACTTACCTCAGTTAAAGCGGGCGTTCATGACTCCACCATAAGAAAGAGACTGGGCAAAAATGATTTGCATGACAGAGTTCAACATGAAAACCACTGCCAAGCATTAAAGGTCCCAGAAAACATCTTGATGATCCCCAAGAATTTTTGGGAAAATACTCTGTGGACTGACGAGATAAAATTTAATGTTATGTATTTGAAAGTATGTATTCCCATTATGTGTAGTGTAAAATTATTACTGTATTTTAGAAAAAGAACATCATACCAACAGTTTAATGTGGTGGTGGAAGTGTAATCCACTGCGGCTGTTTTGCTGGTTCAGAACCTGAAAGACTTGCTGTGATAAATGGAACCATGAATTCTACTTTGTACCAAAATATTCTGAAGGAGAATGTCCAGCCATATGAATCTCCTGACATCAAGCTGAATCGACCTTGAGTTCTGCAGCATGACAATGATCCAAAAGACACTAGCAAGTCCACTTCTGAATGGCCTGAGAAAAACATAATAAAGACTTTGGAGTGGCCAAGTCAAAGCCCTGACCTGAATCCAACTAAGATGCTGTGACATGACTTTAAAAAGGTGGTTCATGCTTGAAAACCCTTTAATGTTTCTAAATTACAACAATTTTGCAAAGATGAGAGAGCCAAACATCCTTCACACCCCTTTTACAGACTCATTGGAAGTTATTAAAGTGGTTGATTGCAGTTGTTGCTTCTAAGGGTGGCTCAACCAGTTATTTGGTTAGGGAGGGAAACATTTTTTTCACACAGGGCTATACATAGTCTGTATTTTGTTTTCCCTTACTGATAAAAACCTTCATTTCAGAACTGCATGGTGTGCTTACTTGTGTTATCTTTGACTAATATTTAAATTTGTTTAATAATCTGAAACATGGTGATGCGGTGGTGTAGTGGGTAGCACGTAGTAGGTCACTGGTTTGAGCCTTAGCTGAATCAGTTGGCATTTCTGTGTGGAGTTTGCATGTTCTCCCTGTGTTTGTGTGGGTTTCCTCCGGGTGCAAAGACCTGTGGTACAGGTGAATTGGGTATGCTACAATTGATCATAGTGTATGAGTGTGTGAGTGTGAACGAGTGTGTATGGATGTTTTCCAGTAATGCGTTGCGGCTGGAAGGGCATTGTTGCGTAAAAACATATGCTGGATAAATTGGTGGTTCATTCCATTGTGGCGACCCGAGATTAATAAAGGGATTAAGCTGAAAAAAAAATGAACGAATCTGAAACAAGTGTGACAAACATGCAAAAAACAATAAGAAATCTTTAAGGGGGCAAACACTTTTTCACACCACTGTGTGTATGTATATTTAGTATACTTTTATCATCAATTTTGTTGTGGTGTATATAAAAATTCTTCATATTTCTGTCTGAGTGCCTTAAAAAAATTGCAAAAAATTGCATATTTTCCCTGCATGTCATTTTCTCATGAATAACATTAATTGTTTCCTCAGGGCATCGTGATGATGACACACAGAGCATGCCTGATGTGCGCAGTGAGTACATAATCATACTCATAGTATCATCAAGCAAACGACTGAGGGCATTTGGCCAAGCATTGTTGAGATATATTGGTAATATAAAATCTATTTTGACATTTCACTACTGTAATATTAGTGTTTTATTCACAGATGCTTATAATGGTCATGATGAAGAACATATGGATGCATCTGAAGCTCAACGTTATAAGCAGGTTGAAATAAAGCATGATTTAAATATATATATATATATATATATTATTTGTTTGTTGCATGTGGCCAAAATCCTACTGAAGCCTATTGAATCCTACTGAATAACATACAGTTGAAGTCAAAATCATTAGCCCCTTCCCCAATTTCTGTTTAACAAAAAGAAGATTTTTTTTCAACACATTTCTAATCATAATAGTTTTAATACCTCATTTCTAATAACTGATTTATTTTATCTTTGCCATGATGACAGTAAATAATATTTGACTAGATATTTTTCAAGACACTTCTATACAGCTTAAAGTGACATTTAAAGGCTTAAGTAAGTTAATTAGGTTAACTATGTAGGTTAGGGTAATTAGGCAAGTTATCTTATAACAATGGTTTGTTCTGTAGACTATAAAAAATATATAGATTAAAGAGGATAATAATTTTAACCTTGAAGTGGTCTTTAAAATAATAAAAACTGCTTTTATTCTAGCCGAAATAAAACAAATAAGACTTTCTCCATAAGAAAAAAAAATGTATTAGACATACTGTGAAAATGTCCTTGCTTTGTTAATCATCATTTGCAAAATATTTAAAAAAAATATATAAAAATCAAAGGGGGGTTAAAAATTCTGACTTCAACTGTGTCATAATTATATGATAACATAATTCTGAATAAATCTGATTAAATTAAGTCATAATTATGATTATAAATGTGTAAGTAATGACACATTAAGGCATAATTTTGAAAGTTAAAGTCTATTATTTCCATATTTTTCTTGTTTTTTATTCTTCCCAAAAGCACCTCCTAATGATAACTTTAAGCAGTTCAATGATAAGTGGAGCAAAAACAAACAAACATATATATATATATATATATATATTCAAGCACTATTTTTAATGTTAAATTATAATCTTTTAAACTATGGCTCTTACCCATTTTCATTCGTCATTTAATGTAAATAAACGTAAAATAAATTGAATGGTAATTTAGACTTTATCCTATGAGTACTCCTCAATATAGCATCATTTAAAATTAACTCTTTATAAATACTTATTCCTACAATGTCCTTTAATTTCTCAATATTTTTGGGTGTGCAATTAAAACAAACCTCTCTTAGAATTATATTCCAAAGTCTATAGTGTATATGAAGTAAATCTGTTGTTTTTCTCAGATGCGAAAGACTAAGCGTCTTCTCTCTGTCCACCCCATGGATTTGGAAATAGACGACTATGCCGTTCACTCTCGCAGACAGTCTGTCCAGGTATGAGAAGGTTCATTTTTATTGTCAGTAGTCACAATTTAAACGAAGAGTCAGGAATTCTAAAAAAATCTGTTTTCTCCAGTACATCCATGATGATAGAGGTCAGCGGAATGATCTAGAATACAACTCTGAAATCTACCATCAGCATCAGCAACGCATGAACCGCAGGAAAAGTCTCGACAGGTTCTCACGCCCAGGTAAAGAAGCAAATACATTTTCTCTATACACATTTTTTTCTTTCTTTCTCAGAAAAAAATTGTTATTAAATTAATTTTATATTTACAAAGAATACATTTATTATGAGAGCGAAGTAAAAAAAAAAAAAAAAAAGAATGGAAAGCACATGTACACTTAGCAATTTGTGGAATATGTCATTTGTAAACGAATAACATGTATTTGTAATGTGAAGGGGACGCTGATAAAGGAGTGCAGATCCAAACGCAAGTTTATTAACAGGATGGTCAGGCAAGCAATGGTCAGCACAGGGGAAAACAGATGAATAGAGTAGTATCATAGTACCATAGTAGTGGTCAAAACACAGGTGAATAGTCAGTACAGGCAGAGAGCAGGCAACTTAAACAAACAGAACAACAAAGCAAAGGTCTAAGACTGAAAAGCAAGGCAAGGAAATCGCGTCATAATGTTCACAAACAGTACAACAAGACTCAGCACAGACTGTGTTGTGTGTGTGTGTGTGTGTGTGTGTGTGTGTGTGTGTGTGTGTGTGTGTGCATGCACTCTGTATTTAAAGTCAATTTAATCAGTTTTTGAGCAGCTCCCAGCTGTTTGAGTGTAATCATTTGTGAATTGAAACAGGTGTGTGTGGGGTGCATGACAGGAACATGTAGTCCATATATCAGCATATTTGTAGTCCTTCATCAATCTGCCAGGATTAGATCGCTGGTGATTGTGACAGTATTTCTTTGATGAGAGGTGGTGTGTGAAAAATGATTTTGCTGTGAGAAGAAAATTTGGAGAATTATGTTTTAAGTGGTTATGTGTAAACCTCATAATTTGTCAAAGCATGCTCATGAAATGGTTGACCAGGCTTTGACTGTTTTAAATAATGACTGTTAAAATAATTTACAGAATGACTGTTTTAACTAATGGTTTACACACAAAGCAATATTGATTTTACTTGATTTTAGCTTTATTGTGAAAACAACAACAACAACAACAACAACAACAAAATATGTTGAATGAGAATCTGAAATATTTTATGGCATACTTCAAAAAATAAAGATAATTTATAATTCTGTTTTATTTAATAAATTGGTCTTACATTTCATATTTGATATATATATATTAAAAGATTTTTATTTATTTATTTTTTTTACCACCAAGTGCAATTTAAAAAGGCCTACTAGGTTAATCAGGTAAACTAGGCAAGTTAGGTTAATTTGTCAAGTCATTGGACAACAGTGGTTTGTTCTGTAGCCAATCAAAAAAACAAAATTCTTAAGAGGGCTAATAATATTGATGTATATTATACAGGTATATATAATTCCAGACAAACAAAAAGAAATAAGACATTCTCCAGAAGAAAATATATTAGGAAATACGGTGAAAAATGTCAGTTGAGTTCGTCAACTGTATATTTTAATTTAAAATTAGAGAACTATAATAACTTGGAAGTGGTTTCTTCATTTTTTATTTATTTTTTTATTATTCATGATTCCAGGATTATTAACTTCAGGTTTTATTTAAACAGTCAAGAGAGATCTTGATTTTAGTATTAAGATAAACTCATTTGTCACCTTCTTGATTATTGCAGATGATGGCCTATACTCTGAGAACAGAATGGTACGTGCTCGTTCTCTCTCTAAAATCAATTCCTCAATGGCTCCGCGTCAGATCTACCTGGACACTTCAGAGGAAGAGGATATGTACCGCTATCCTGTTTACCAGCTTCCTCCTCGGCGCCGCAGTCGAGCTTCATCTCAGGAGAACATTCAGCAGGGAGCACCACCGGTATGATCATCACTGATTAAGGCGCTTTATCAGCATGATGTGAACTATATTAAAAAGGAAATAAGATATGTTGAAGAAAGCTGAAAACCTCTAATTATTGACTTCCATGGTAGGAAAAACAAATGATTACATGTTTCTATCTTTGTTCAAAATCTCTTCTTTTATTCAGTGCAATAGCCTAGTGGTTAGCATGCCAACATATGGTGCAGTATCATGTCATGACATTTAAAAAAATGTCTTCTTTAGTGTTTAACAAAAGAAAGTTAAAAAGTTTTAAAACAAGTGAAGGGTGAGAAAATTATGACAGAATTTTAATATTTGGGTGAACTTTAAAAAGTTAGTTCACTCAAAAATTAAAATGTCTTCCCCTTTTACTCACACTCTAGTGGTTCTAAACTTTGATGAATTTCTTTCTTCTGTTGAGCACAAAACAAGATATCCTAAAGAATGTTGGAAAAAAGCAGCTATAGACATCCATAATAGGAGCAAAACAAAAATAAATACTATGGATTTATTTATGGATTTATCTATTTACTATGGGTCAGTAGCTGGGTTTTCCCCAACATTCTTTAGTGTCAAGAAAGTCAAACGGGTTTGGAACAAGTAAAGGGAGAGTAAATGATAATGATGGGAAGTTCGGATAATTTTACTGACTCTGATCTTTGAGTCGAACGAAACTTTTTTTTGAGTCATTTCATTCATTTGGTTCAATTTGCCAAAATATTATTAAAATGTTATGAATTGCTTCCAAACACACCTACAACTAGCCCAAAAGATTGATTGCACGACAAATAAGTCATAAATAGAATACTATAAGAAGGAGAAAATAATAATTCAATGTTTACCTGCTCTTTTGTCTTTGAAGGCATGTTGTCTCTTTGCTCAGCTCATCTTCATGTCTTCAAATGTCAGTGGTTCAATCACGTTACACTGACAGTCACATATAATCTTAATCAATGCACAGTCTAAGCCGATAGGAGCCATAATCGTTCGTTCATCACGTGACAGAATAACTCAAACCCGAGGACTCGAGAGATAAACGGTTCAATTCTTTTTTCGGCTCTAAATGCATATGATTGGCTCGTGATGAACGAGTGACTCAGACCCGATAGAGGACTCGAGAAGTGAGCGGATCAATTCTTTTTCTGGCTCTAAACGCGTATGATTGGCCCGTGAGGAACGAGTGACTCAGACCTGATAGAGGACTCGAGAGAAACGGATCAAAACTTTTTCCAGCTCTAAACGCATATGATTGGCCTGTGAGGAACGAGTGACTCAAACCCGATAGAGGACTCGAGAGGTGAGCGGATCAATTCTTTATCCGGCTCTAAATGCATATGATTGGCTTCTGTCAATGTGATGAAGACTTGAAATTAACGATGCTACCTGCACAAATGTGCGCATGCGCGGAAGAACGTATCACTCCCTGAGAGGACTCGTAGTTCCCGAGTCATATTGAAGATTCGTTTAAAATGAACGAATCGTTCATGAACGACCCATCACTAGTAAATGATGACTGAATTAATTTTTTGGTGAACTAACCCTTTAAAAAAATATTATTTTATTTTATCTAAAATTTTTCACTATCATCCTTATGGAATAGCAAAATGTTCGGCCACCCATGTAGATGTAGAAAGGTAAATGAAGGAAGTGTTCAACAATAGGGAGGTCCTTTGTCCTTTGACCATCTCATGGATGTTGTTGAATATGGAGGATGAGGGAGCTCTCTGATTTCCTCTAAAATATCTTTATTTGTGTTCCAGAAACGAACTTGGATTAAAATGATATGGAGAAATTAATAACAGAATAACATTTTTTTGAGGGGGACTAACTTTTTTCTTTGACCTGTTACTGTGAGGTAGATCAATGAACTGAGCAAGAGAATGTCTGCCATCGAGAGTCTATTGAATCGATTGGAAGAGAAAATTACTGTGCCTTCTGATCAGGTATATATAAAGTCTCAAAATAGAAAGCCACACTTCTTATTGTTCCAAATGTTGTAGGTTCTTCACATACTTTTTTCTCTATGTTTTAGCCTGCCCTGCCCCCAGCAGGGCACATGGAGGAGGAGAAGCTGAGGAGAAAACTTGATGAGCTGATGAGTGACAAAGGACTTTCTTCTGACGAGGAAGACCCGAAGCGAGCTCCTCAGTATAAACGCTCTACTGTGAGAGGGGACCAGACAGCAATGGTCCTTGCATCCCAAGAACCCCTGAGCTCCTCCAGTGACGAGATGCCCACTGAAGCACAAAAGGTGAGCACACAAACAACACGCACATCCACACAGACTGATTAGTAGTTTTTTGCACAATTGATCGAACAATTCATGCAGATTCAGGTGTCTCATCATGCTAGTGAAATATCATTTGTTCTTGAAAGTTACACATCTTTCCACGGGCTTTGCATAATATTGAAAACGTTTTATAGAATGCCAGATAAAAGTCTTCATTTATGGACTTGTTCACTTCAAAATCAAATTTCACCATCATTTACTCACAATAATATCTTTCCAAATCCATAAGAATCTGTGCTCTGATAGGATTTTAGAGCCCTGGAGACATTTTGATGAGGAACGAAATAATGGCAAAAAACAAACAGTAAACCATTTATTTTATTTATTTATACCATATACTGTTAAAAAAAAACTAATTTTACAGAAAATATCCCTAAATTTTTTACAGTAATTTTTTTTTGCCATTTAAAATTATATGTAGAACTTAGTAAAATCAAAAAACAATCTCTCCAAATTCACAGTTTGACTTTCATTTTAGGTACTTTTTCATTAAAGACAAATTAAAGACGTTTTTTTTTATATAGGGAAATTACAGTATTATTTATACAGTATTTTTTCTGTTATTTTAAATTATATTCAAAAATCCGTAAAAATTACAAACAATATCTGTAAATTAACAGCTTGACTGTTATTTTATGTATTATATAAGTAATGACAAATTACAGCAATTTGTCTGTTTTATACAATAAAATTGCCATAATATTTACACAGTGTTTTTTCACCTGTTTTTTATGAAGTACATTTAAAATTACATGAAATGAAAGTAATAAATTGTAATTACTTGCTCTGTAAAAAAAAAAAAAAAAAATTGTAAAAAAAAAAGTCAAATGACTGGCAGCTACGGCTGCCAAACAAAATCCGTAAAATTATGGTAAAATTTCTTTGTGGAAAAAAAGTGCAAAAAATAATAAATCTACAGATATTTTCATTAAAATGTTTACAGAAAAACACTGTTATTTTACAGACTTTTCCTGGATTATTACGATCAAATCCGTTGCAAACTCCACACTGAAAAGACAACTGACTCAGCCAAGGTTCAAACCAGCGCCCGTCTTGCTGTGAGGCGAACGTGCTACCCACTGCACCACCGTGCAGCCCATATCAGAAATTAATAAATTAAAATTGTGGTTTGACGTAAACAAAAAAGAAAAAAAGATTGTTTTTTGGGAAATTAAAAAGTAGTCATTACATAGATTTAAAACTTGATAATGAAGGTATAGAAAAAGTATAAGCAATTAAGTTTCTTAGTGTTGTATTGGGTCATAAAATTAGTTGGAAATTGCTAATAAATAATGTGATATCAAATTGAGTAAAAATCCCGGACAATAAATAAATGTATGTATTATATAACACATTTATGTTGCCATAAATGTATTATTGTGTTGACATTTTAGGGGAATACATATAAATCTAACTTATGATCCTTTTGTCTGATACAGAAAAAAAAGATATTACAGTGATAGAAAATGTGGGATATTTTGAGCATACAAATTCTTTATTTTCTAAATTAAAGATACTTATAGGTTCAATGATTTGGTTAAATTTAAAACAGCACACCTCATTTTTAAAGCTAGAAATAATTTCTTTTTTTTTGAAGAAGAAAGACAAGAGGATATAATATAGAAGAACAACATTTTTGCAGGTTAAAAACACATACAACTTTATAAAAAAATTGTATGTCTGGTGTCAAGTTATGGAACAGTCTAGAACAGATTCTCAAACAATGTCAGTTGTTTCAAGTAATTTCAATTAATGGCTGCTTGCAATACTGTGTATTTTTGGGGTCTATGTTATAAAATGTAAATGTACAAATGGAATAGAACATATAATATGTTAATGATGTCAAAAGGATCAAATATGTCTCATCTAAAAAGAAGAAATAAGTGAAGAAGAAATACAGTTCCCCTTCGGGGGGAACTTCAGCACTATAAGTGGATTTGATTGTAAAATCCACGCATTGGGAGGTTCGGTTCAGAAGCTACTCGTCTGAAAGAGTATTGAACGGGCCAATTAAGAATGAATTGGCAGCGCAAGCCTGCGCAGGTGAGCGGCATAAGCAATCAACTGAGTATATAAGCTCACCTGGCGCAGCAGACGCTATCCTTTTCGCTTCAGAGACTTTCTGATCGAGTCGATGAGGGTTCCTCCTGCTGTGACCAGCGATTCTGAGCGAACGAGAGCATTCTCCCGGTCCAGAGTGTGTACACGCAGTGGCAGACGGTCGAGCTGGGTTTCTCCCTTGCCTGGCGTTCTTTGGGTCCGGTCCTCCAGAGCGGTGCGTATAAAGTTGCAAACTTCACAGAAAGAGCAACACAGTCGTGCAGCACGTCCTTATCAGGACGGCGCTCCGACTGTGCGTTTCTGGATGCGGTGGTTTCCTGTCCTCGGATGATGGGCGCGGGCACTGTGTTACATGTCTGGGGGTCCAGCATGTTAATGCGCTGCTCGCGGGCAGTTCATGTCGTCATCGCGATGCCATGACTGTTGCGCAAGATCGCGGTTAGCCTTTGCAAAAAGGCGAACCACCCCAGTTGTCCCCTGCTCTGCAGCGGGCACTCGGGCAGATCTGAGGGTTTCAGCGAGAGATAATCCGTCGCCCACGGGCCCGCGGACCTCCCGCTCCTCTAAGCGCTCCATCCAAGCTTCGGGCGGGGGAAGCGATCCGTCTAACAGATGGTAGCCCTTACGCCTGATGACACCGGAGACCAGATGTCCACCGCGGCATCGGAGGGTGGGCTTTCATTGTCCGATGATGATCCAGACCCGCTCGCCCCCTTCGGGCTGGTGAGCGCTGTCACTACGGATCCTGAAACGGACATGTTAGCCGTGCTTTCCCGGGCTGCTTCGGCCGTGGGTTGGAGATGGTTTATCCCCCAGCTCCGCGGCCGGACCGACTAGAGGGGCGTTCCCTTCTTCCCGGAGGTGCACAGTAGGCTCACGCGGTCTTGTAAAGCACTTTTTTCTGCTCGTGCTGCGTGTTCCTCCACCCTAACCACTCTTGACGGTGAAACAGCCAGGGGGTATGTGGCGATTCCTCAGGTTGAGTGCGCGATGGCGGTAAATCCGCGCGGCGCCTCTTCTTGGCGGGGTCCGCCTCGTCTCCCATCCAAAGCCTGTAAGTTATCTACCTCCCTCGGAGCTAGAGCTTACATAGCTGCGGGCCAGGCTGCTTCCGCCTTGCATGCGATAGCCACCTACCAGCGCTACCAAGCGCAGGCGCTGGCCGAGCTGCACGAGGGTGGGTCCAACCCAGGCTTACGAGCTTCGCACCGCCGCCGACTTAGCTCTTCGGACTACTGAGTCCGCTGCGTGTGCGTTGGGGAGGACGATGTCCACATTAGTGGTCCAGGAGCGCCACCCCTGGCTGATATGCGCAAAGTCGACAAAGTCCGCTTTCTTGACTTCCCCATATCCCCAGCCAGGTTCGGCGACACTGTCTGTGAATTCACCCAGGAATTCAAGGCGGTGAGAGAGCAGTTGGTGGGTGATGTCTTATCGGCGGTCCGTAGCCCGCTCCGCCCGCCGTGCCATTCATACCTGCTCCTCGCCGAAGGCGCCCGCCTACGAGAGCTGCTCCGCCCCCGCACACGCCTAAGGCGAAGCGAGCGCGTCGGGCACCTCGGAAGCAGGCAGCCCCCCTGCCCAGAACGCCGCTAAGTCCGGCAACGGACCGCGAAGCGCCCCTGGGACAGGCCATCTGGAGAAGAGGGAACTTGCTCTTTCCCCGCTGGAGGGCGGGGCCCCATTTCCAACGGCACTTTTTACTGCCATGAAAACATTATGAAAGGGCACTTTTCACTTCCCCAGATGTGACAGCCCTAAATCTGCCAGTCTGGGACGCTATGCTTTCTAGCTTGCAGATTCGGTGCGTTTCGCCAGTGGCTCACGAGCGCTGGGAGGACGGTCTCCTTTCTCCCACCCCTCGAGCCTCCCCTCCGGAGCTCGGGTTTGGAGTGAGAGCAAATATCTCACCTCCAGCTTTTCCGTGGGACCCGCGAGCTTCCCGGATCAGCACACCCACTCCGCGCTGCCCCACTGCTGGTACGTCAGCGATTGTAGCGATGAGTCCATTAGCGAGAGCTCTGCCTGCCTGGTTAGCGCGGGCCAGCTCTTCGCGGTGGCTCATACGCACAATCAGACTCGGCTATGCGATTCAGTTCGCGAAACGGCCCCCCAAGTCACGGGTGTGTATTCACCAGGGTCAGCCCCCTGTCCGCCCCTGTCTTGCGAGAGGAGATTGCTGTCCTCCTGGCGAAGGATGCAATCGAGCCGCTCCCTCCAGCCGAGATGGAGAGCGGGTTTTACAGCCCACGCTTCATCGTGCCCAAAAAGAGCGGTGGGTCACGGCCAATCCTAGATCTGCGCGTTTTGAACCGCTGCCTGCACAAGCTGCCGTTCAGAATGCTCACGCAGAAGCGCATCCTCCGGTGCGTTCGTCCTCTGGGTTGGTCTGCAGCATTAGACCTGATGGACGCGTATTTCCATGTCTCCACTCTTCCTCGCCACCGACAGTTTCTGCGGTTTGCGTTTGAAGGTCGAGCTTGGCAATACAAAGCCCTCCCCTTCGGGCTCTCTCTGTCTCCGCGGGTCCTCACCAAGCCCGCGGAGGGTGCCTCAGCGCCCCTTCGGCTCGCGGGCATCTGCATACTCAATTTCTTTTCGACTGGCTGAATTGCCCTCTCTTTTGATTATGCACAGAGTTGATTATGCACAGAGACAAAGTGCTCTGGCACTTCCACCTGTGGGGGTTTCAGGTCAACCGAGAAAAGAGCAAACTCGCCCCCGTGCAGAGGATCTCTTCTCTCGGGCTGGAGCTGGACTCGGTCACCATGGCAGCGCGCCTCTCCGGAGAGCGCGCTCAGCTGATGCTGTACTGTCTGAGAGAGCTCGACAGTAAAATAGTGGTCCCACTGAAACAATTTCAGAGGCTCCTGGGGCATATGGCATCCGCAGCCGCTTCATGCCGCTCGGATTATTCTATATGAGACCACTTCAGCACTGGCTTCACGATCGAGTCCCCAGACGCGCATGGCACGCGCGCGCACACCGAGTCTCTGTTACTGCGCTGTGTCGCCGCGCCCTCAGCCCTTGGAGCGACCCCTCGTTCCTACAGGCCTGGGTGTCTCTAGAACAGGCGTCCAGTCTTGTTGTCGTTTCAGCAGACGCTTCCAACACGGGCTGGGGGGCTGTGCGTTGCGGGCATGCGGCTGCGGACCTGTGGAAAGGTACCCAGTTGCATTGGCATATCGCCTGGAGCTGTTGGCAGTGTTCCCCGCTCTCCACCGTTTTTTTCCGGTGTTGGAGCGGCAACACGTGCTGGTCAGGACGGACAGTACGGCGGCGGTGGCGTATATCAGCCGTATAGGGGGTATGCGCTCTCGCCGCATGTCTCAGCTCGCCCGCCGTCTGCTCCTCTGGAGTCATCCGCGGCTGAAATCGCTGCACGCCATTCATATTCAGGCAAGCTCAACCGTGCAGCCGATGCGCTCTCACGGCAGCCTTGCGTCCTGGAGAATGGAGACTCCACCCCGAGTCTGTTCAGCTGATATGGGCGCGATTCGGGGAAGCCCAGATCGATCTGTTGCTTCCCCCGAGATCGCTCATTGCCAGTTGTTCTTTCCCTGACCGAGTGCTCTCGGCACGGATGCACTGGCTTACAGCTGGCCTCGGGGCACGCGCAATACGCGTTTCCCCCAGTGAGCCTGCTCGCGCAGTTACTGTGCATGGTCAGGGAGGACGAGGAACAGGTTGCTGGTTGCGCCCCTCTGGCTCAACCGGACCTGGATGTCAGAGCTCTCCCTCGCGATAGCCCTCCCCTGGCAGTCCCTTCGAGAGAGCACCTACTCTCTCAGGGACAGGGCACCACCTGGCACCCTCGCCGATCTTTGAAGAGATTTTTAGACGCGAGGAAGACTTAGGTAACCTCCGATTGCGGTGGCTAATACCGTCACTCGGGCTAGAGCCCCCTCCCCGAGCGCGCCTATGCCCTGACGTGAAGTCTATTCACTGAATGGTGTGTCTCTCGCTGAGAAGACCCCCGTAATTTGCCAGATCAGCGTTGTGCTTTCTTTACGCCGAGAGAAGTTGGAGAGCAGGCTGTCGCCCTCCACACTCAAGGTTACGTGGCTGCCATCTCCGCTCTTATAACGCGGTGGCTGGCAGCACCGTGGGAACGCATAACCTCATCATCCGGTTCCTCAGGGGCGTTAAGCGAATTAATCCACCCCGCCCCCTCTCATGCCCTCTTAGGATCTCGCCCTCGCTACACAAGCCGCGTCAGATCCCTTCGATCCTCGACTCAGTATTTTCTGTCCCTGAAGACAGCTCTGCTGGTCGCGTTGATATCGATTAGAGGGTCGGGGACCCGGAGGCATTTTTCGGTCAGTGACTCGTGCCTGTAATTGGGCTGGCTTCTCTCACGTATGAGACCCCGCCCGCGATATGTGCCCAAGGTTCCTACCACTCCGTTTTAATACGAGGTAGTGAGCCTGCAAGCGCTGCCCTCGGAGGAGGCAGACCCAGCCCTTATTTATTGTCCAGTTCGCGTTTTGCGTATTATCCGGACCGCACTCAGAGTTTAGATCATCTGAGCAGCTCTTCGTCTGTTATAGCGGTCGGCAGCAGGGAAGTGCCGTACCGAAATAAGTTCCCACTAGATTGTGGATGCCTTTCTTTCACTATCAGAGCCGAGATGAGCCGCGTCCCCCGAGAGCGCGTGCGCACTCCACTCGGAGCTTCGCATCCTCTCGAGCGCGCGCACGCGGCGCCCCTCTAACAGACATCTGTAGAGCTGCGGGCTGGGTGACACCCAACACATTTGCAAGGTTTTACAATCTGCGAGTGGAGCCGGTTTCCTCAAGGGTATTAGGTAACCCTTGGTGATTGAGGAAACAATTCGGTAGGGTGTTGAAACACGCTTGCTGCGCCATTTTCCCTAACACGGAGATACGTGCGCCTTTTTATCTGTCAGTAAAGTTCCCCGTCAGGTGAGCCCTGCAGATTCCTCCGTGGCCCCCAGCACTGACTCAGCGGAGGAGTCACTTGCTGGCCCACTACGTTGTAGGTCTGCCCGCTGGTCAGCCCGCGTTTTGGGTAAAGGTGCCTGCTATGCGTGGTCCCCACTAGGCGATCCCATATGCTTATTCAGCCACGGTTAAGTCCCCCCCCCCCTGGGCGGACCCGTGTCTTCCCTCCCCGCTAACCACTCTTTTGCTATGCGTACTCCCCCTTTTTAGGGCTAGTCCATATGTAAATTCTGCCATCTATCCCCCCTTGGGTAACGGATGGCCTCCGCAGCGTCCTCCCTATCGGGATTGCACGCTTCCCAACGTACTGTCGTATTTTCCTAGAATTATCTAGATGCTCACGACTTCCCAAAAAATATATATAAATCCGTAAAACTTCTGTTGAAGTAGGATAAATTAGGGCCAGGGACACGTTGGAGGACCGCGCCCCCCATGATGTGGGTGCGTCACGCTTGCTTGACTATCTCCTCATCGGGGGTGTTGGTAAGGTGCAGTCATTATGGCGCTTTCAATGGGCTCCCAATGCGTGGATTTTACAATCAAATCCACTTATAGTGCTGAAGTTCCCCCCGAAGGGGAACGTTCGAGGTTACTAAAGTAACCCTTCGTTCCCCGAGGAGGGGAACGGAAGCACTATACTCCGTCGCCATAATGACTGTCCCTTAGCTGTTGAAAGTCTCTTCAGCTTAAAAAGGATAGCGTCTGCTGCGCCAGGTGAGCTTATATACTCAGTTGATTGCTTATGCCGCTCACCTGCGCAGGCTTGCGCTGCCAATTCATTCTTAATTGGCCCGTTCAATACTCTTTCAGACGAGTAGCTTCTGAACCGAACCTCCCAATGCGTGGATTTTACAATCAAATCCACTTATAGTGCTTCCGTTCCCCTCCTCGGGGAACGAAGGGTTACTTTAGTAACCTCGAACGTTTTTCACAGTCGCTTTGGTGCATTTCTCACAACACTATTTATATTTGCACAACGGTTAATGCATTTCTTAAACAATTAGTCATTTGTGCACATAGCAGTTTCTCATTCCTTCCAACAAATTGCAGATGCTTTTGGACATGCATCAATTGTTTACTTACAACTCTCTGCTGTTTATAACATTATCATTTGCTTTTGTCATGTCAGTCAAAATTAACTAAACTTGTAAACGCTGAATAGTCATTCCATATAAAACTAATAGTCTTCATTTCATTACTTGAGTCATTACATACAAAAATGTTGAACTAGCTGTCAAAATCTTTCTAGCAAATTTTATAAAAAAAATTTAAATCTTTATTTTCCTGAAAATATCTTAAAAATTGAACAGTTTCATGAATGATTTACAGACCTATGTATGTTGTAGGTTCAGTTCCAATATGTTCTGCAATATTGTGTACAGTTGTGCACAGCTCTACCCAAAGGAAGTTTATTTTTGTTGTAAATAAGGCTGTATTTATTCTTTTGCACAATGCTGTGAATAAATTAGAATTGCAAAGAGAAAATGCAGTAAAAATGTGAAACATACATATTCAGTGTCTTGTACTCAGATACTTAACTAAATACAGTGATGTCTAACTGTACTGTAGTTTTCAAATGGCTGTGCAAATAGTATATAGTGCTGTCTTGAGCATTTTCAGGAAGTGTCACCAAAATCTGACTTTTTTTTCATTGGAAAAATTGTACAGAGTAAAGTGTCATAATGAAAACATGACTAAGCCATTTGACTATCTTGTTTATAAACAATAGTGCCAGGACTTTTAATTTTGATGATACTGACACTTTGATTGACATGAATACTTGCTTTTGAGGAATGAACTATCCATTTTGAGCATGTGACACGCTTTTGCAGGTTATCAGCTAGGTTTTGCAGTTTGTACTAATTGTTTTGAGAAATGCATTAACTGTTGTGCAGATATGCACTGGTGTGAGAAATGGACCAAAGCGACTGAGAAAAACTGTTAGTTAAAGTGATAGATGAATGATATGTACCACATGTGGTGGGAAATTAATAAGCTTGTGCTTCATCCTGCTCCAATTCGACCATGTTGAAATGTATTTTTAAAACTGTAATGGCGTATTTATTCTTTTGCACAATGCTGTGAATAAATTGGAATTGTAAAGAGCAAATACAGTAAAAATGTGACAGACATTCAGTGTCTTCTACTAAAATATCTCACTAAATGTCTAACTTTACTGTAGTTTTCAAATGACTGTGCAAATAGTATATACTGCTGTCTTTAGCATGACAAAGCCATTTGACTATCTTGTTCATCAATAATGGTGTCAGGACTTTTCATCTTGATGACACTGACACTTTGATTGACATCAATACTTGCTTTTGAGGAATGAGCGGTCCATTTTGAGCAAGTGACACACTTTTGCAGGTTATCAACTAGGTTTTGCAGTTTGTACAAATTGTTTTAAGAAATGCATTAACTGTTAAGCAAATGTAAATAGTGTTGTGAGAAATGCACCAAAGCCACTGAGAAAAACTGTAACATGTACCTTTAAGGACCGGCGAGGAAAAAAGTACTCCAGTGACAGATTTTGTACCTTTATTATATTTGTACCCTGAGTATACAGTAGTAAAGTTTTAGTTACCTTGAACTTTTCAGGCATTATGGGTGTGCGACAACATGAGCTAAATGAGTAAATGATGACAGATTTTTCAGTTTTGGTTAGACTACAACTAGGGAATTTATTAGCATAGCCAAAGAAACATCTGAAAGACTTCCCGCAAATTATTTTCTAAAGACCATGAGGCAGGCATCAGCAATACTTCAGCCTCATTTAGCTGTAACCTAAGCAATGCTAATACCTCACTTAGGTCATTTTAGGGTTTTACTGCTGATGAGGCTTCTCTCCTCTCGGTTAATTGCTGTTCCCTTTACATGGCTTTCAGAGATCCACTGCAGCGGCCCTATGCGACATCACAACTGAGATTCTAAGAACAATTAATGCCACTGAAAGCGCTATGAACGAGTTGACCCCCTCAAATCCTAATGACAGACTTCAGTTAGCGGGCACAGATGTTAAGCAGGCTGATGATGCGTACAGGGAACTTGAGGAAAATGTAAGCTTATCCCTCTAACAGATACTGTTATGTTTGTTTGAAGCAGAGAGTTTAGACATCTGGAAGTGATCAAGTGGTTTTACTGTATATCACTATACATAATACTATCACTATATACGTTTATAAACAATTTGTTCAGAACTTTTCTTCTTTTGTTTTGCTGCAGGTGTACATGACTGCAGGGAAGTCCTATGAAGTGGCAAAAAAGTTGCAAAAGATTGAGCACAATGCCAAGAATCACTATGGTGGCCCATTAACTGATTCAGAACTCTCTGAACTAGAGGACCAGGTTGCTCTGGCTGTTGCCAAAGTTCAGGGCACGGAAAGTGAAGTAAGCATCAATTTGAAAACCTTTTTGTCTAGAAATGATGTGGCTTTATATTAATGCATGCATCTTCCTCTCTGTCTGCCTGTTTGTGCAGCTATTTGTTTTGTCTGCCATCTTGTCCACCCGTCTTTATGCCAGTCTGTCAAAGTCCCTTTAAGGAATAGGTCTCAAACTCAATTTCTGGAGAGCCACAGCTCTGCACAGTTTTGCTCCAACCATAATCAAACACAGCTGATCTCAATAAAAAGGGTGTTCAGGAATATTAGAGACTATTAAGGAGGTGTGAGTTGGAGGTGGTTGGTGCTAATCTGTGCAGAGCTGCGGCCCTCCAGGAACTGAGTTTGAGACCACTGATTTAAGGCAAGTCATTTCACTCTGCGACCATCTTTTAAACGCCTCTCGGGCAGTATGCTCGAGCATTCTGTTTGAATGGGGAAACATCAAATTCTCCAATATTGTTTGCCAAGCTTATGATTGAATTTCATATTAGGAATCACCATTAAAATTAAACAACAACTTTCTCTTTAGTTTCATTTCTAAACGTTCAAATCAAACAGAATCTGTAGAATATCACGTCTGGTCTGAGCCCCTTCCACGGAAAACCCTTAGTCTATAATGATCAATGATTGGCATCTGTATTAGAAGGCGGGGCTTCATTCGCCATATTAACCATTACACGTTTTTCCCATTCAAAACTATATGAGTGACATGTCTTGTGTATTCTATAGTCTTTGAGTAAGTCTATCTCTTTCTGTTTGCCATCCTGTCCATTTGTCTATCTGTAAATAGTTTATTAAAAATGTAGCGTTTAGTTTATGTTACAAGTACATTGCATTTAAATTAAGAGATTATATATAGCATGAATATATGTTTCTGATTAAAAATGTGCTGAATAATAACACCAGCTTATTTCAAATCAGCATTACCTACATTTATTTTATTACTAAGCATACTTGCAGCATAACACTGTACTATTAGTTAACTAAGTCTACATTTAGAAAAGTTACAAATACTGTATATTATTAAACAATTAAAGTATACACTATACACTAAACCACTGTAACTACCAGTGGTTTCGTTAAAGCATCCTCACTTGTGAGCTAGTGTTTAAAGAGTCAGAAATATGATTCAAAGGTTACATGTTCGAGACACCACCCCCAGTTTGTGTGTGTGTGTGTGTGTGTGTGTGTGTGTGTGTGTGTGTGTGTGTGTGTTTGTGGTTTTATTGATTAAATGCACTGCCCAAATCCTGAGCATGGAATAAAGTTTATGTAAAAATTATTTTCCCACAAGTATTACCAAAGTATACTAGAACTATAGGCCTACTCATGAGTTCACTTGCAGTACAAATGAAAAACTTCCTTGTGGACTTGTTAAGAACCCAAAGTGTACTGATTTTATACTTATAGTACACTTAAAACTATACTTATACTGTATTGACCTTATTCTTCAATGTAGAAGGGTGCTAACTTTTGCAACTGTTTTGGGACTTCCGAATCAGTTGCGTATAGGAGAAATGACTAGAATAATAAATGACTGAAAACGGTCAAACTGCTTGCTCAACAAGCAAGTGTGTTCCTGACTATAGATAAAAAGAAAAATAATGTAATAAGTTTGCAATATCAAGTACCATAACAAGCCATTTTTACCATTTAAAAGTCAATGGAAGTGAATGAGACTTTAGGTCTCGTGCCAAAAAGATTTCAGTTTATATGTGAATAATAAGGTAAATATACAGTTGAAATTACAAGTTTACATACACTCTAAAAAAGGAACATAACAATAATTTTACATTTGCTAAATTTAGCATATTTTTATTTTAAATTAAAATTTAGCAAATTGTAATAATTTTATGTTGATTCTGGTTTGTTAATTTTCCCATGTTGTCACAAAAAGAAGCAGTGTGTTTGAGGTTTTTCTTAAATACTATTCTACAGTTGTGCCTACAATTAACTCAAATGTTGTCAATTATACATATATATATTATTTATATATCATTATATTAAAAGCCGTGCTTAATTTGTTCATGAATAATTACCACAACAAAACCTAGAAATAAAACGTTATTGTGACCGACGTCCAGCAAACAATTTAAGTTTTCCCGGATCATAACGTCATTAAACGGTCATAGTGCAAAAAAGAACTTCGCATTTCTTAACGGTCTTTAATTATTTTTTTGCCATATAACGTTATAGGTTAGCCAGGATAATAATCCTGTAAAAAAGGATAATAAAGTGAAAAAAAATAATGAAATGATTCACTCAGTCGAATCAAGAAGGGCCCACATTTATCTCTTCTGTCATGCTTTCTGGCTGACTTTGCTTCTGTCTCCCGCTATCCTGATCTATTCGCGCAGTTTCATCTTCCCAAGATCCTAGGCTCATTATCAGATTTGCTTGTGGTTTTAAAAAATTAAAATATGCTTGACTGCCTCTTTGCCATTTTGAAAATTACAAAGATTATTTAGGCAGGCCACTATGCCAATATTTATCTTCGCTGCACACTTCGCTGGAAACAATCACCAACCAATGAGAGTGATTGTAAACATAAGCAATCCGATTGGATAGTTAAATAGTTAAACGTGACTTTAGCTTTAATTGGCATATGGTGTCTACCATCATGCATGTGCGCACACACAATCCACAGAACCTTTGCTTGCACTCATTCTCTCTCTCTGTCTCACACACACACATAGGTATTCACCATGCACAAGTTAATGCCAGATCCAAAATAAATACCGGAACGCAAAACATGAATATCTGACAGCAAGATCTGGCTCAGATTAAGCACTGATTACATGTATACTACTAATACATATAGAGGTTAATGCATGAAGTATACTTAAAATATACTTCGACATTACTTAAGTGTACTTAATAAAGTTAACTTGAAGTACACAGTAATTTTTTTACATAAGGGTGTTCATCTATCTGTCTGTCTGTCTGACTATCCCTCTGCGGTGGGTGTGATTTGAAAATAATAGTTTGTATAACAGTCATGTAGATCAGTGGTTCTCAAAGTGGGGGTCGGTACCCCCCGAGGGGTCTCGGGGCAATGAAGGACGTTGCCTGGTGATTTCCAAAAATCTATTTATTTTTATTAAACCATATGAATTAACTTATTTTATCCATAACTATATTTAAAATAAAAATTGTAGTTTATAGTTACTATATACTATATAGTTACTATAGTAGCTTATAGTTACTAGTTCTATTAGATTGCGACCCCTGGGGTAATTACATTATATTAAAGGCAGCAATAGCGTCAGATGCATTTTGATTTTATAACATCAGGTTATACTTTCTGGCACATTTAAAGCACTGACACAAATTTAATTGGTGTGTCTGCGTCATTGCATGCAAAGTTTCTGTATTTATAACCACCTCAGAGGATATTGGGGGTCGCGAGTCACTGGCATTGTTATTTTGGGGGTCGCGGGCTGAAAATTTGGGAACCCCTGATGTAGATGAACATAACCCTAACTGTAAGCCCAAACCTAACATGAACTTTAAACATATCCCTTAGCTCTGATTGGCTGTTTGGAATGTTGTTCCAGTATCAACATAGATGCTGATCTAGGAACATGTCCTAATTGGTAAAATCACACTAACCATTTATCTGCAGTGGTGTATAATCTGTACTCGTGTACTTGAGTAAAAGATCTGTCTGTTTGTCTGTCTCTCCATTTATTTATCTTCTGTCTTTTATTCATTTATCAGGTCTCGGATATTGAGAGCAAGTTAGCTGCTCTAAGTGCTAAAGGATTATCAATTGATAAAGCTAAGAAAAAGGTGAACCGTTCAAATAATTAGTTAAAAAAATTACATTTAAATCTGCTTTCTTCCAGATTTGCAACTCACTATATATTTGTGAACATTTACTTTCAGGCAGTGAGTATGCAACAAAAAAGGAAGTTTCCCCAAGATTTTTCATCAAGCAGAGTGCACTTTTAAGTGTAAAGAGGACATCACTTCTCTGTTGCTGTTACTTCTGTGATTATCCCTTTAGACCTTCGTCAGTCTATCCACACCTGCCACCTACAGTACATTCATCCATTTTGTCAGCCAAAGGATGTATTGCAAATTATCAATCATCACAAGTCCTGATAACTATGTATAACTGGCTTACATATGCTGTGCATTTTTGGGATTGTAAAACTCTTTGTGTTTGAGCTAATAATATCAGCCAACCCATTTAAAACTATTAGGAGACATGAACAACAGTTTTTTTTGCAAAGAAAAAAAATAGGATTAATTTCCATTAATCTCCATTACATTTCCTTGCCATCTTTGTTTATCAGATTGCCCTATCAGCTTTGACATTTTAATAATAAATGTACTGCAAATAATTGTCTTTTTTTCCCTCTGAAAACACTATCACATTATAAATGTTTTGAAATGTGAAAATTCGTACCCCCGGAGAAGACCATCTTTAAACAAGTACTTTACTTTTTTCCCCCTAATATTTGGCTTTTCTTTTTCTGAACTTAACAGATGTTTCTAATACAAATCATGCTAACCAAAGACATCTATTGTGCAAGGAATGCTATCAATTAGCATGAGTACTTTTGAAAGGGCTAATTTTTACTCATACTTTGAGTAATATTTACAACAGATACTTTTACTCTACTCACACTACATTTTTAGGCAAGTAATGGTACTTTTACTTAAGTATGCTTTTTCAGTACTCTTTCCACCATTGGTGAAATGTAAATCACAAAATAGGAAAATGTTAACAGATATTTTTTTACAGCGTAGCTATAGTAATTTACTCTAGTATTAACATACGGTAACGATAAATAATACAACTTTTTACTTATTATTCATATTAAGTTTTAATTTTATCCATTACATGAAAAAATATTCTGCATTATTATTAAACTATAGATAGGATGTTAAGCTGGCTTAAAGAACACTTACAGTTGTTTGTACAGAATAAAAACTAGTTTATTGAATACTTCAGCAAATAATTTCATGAACTAAATAAATGTTTTAATTATTGAACTAGTAACCTGTTTAACTATGTGTTCACTTGTAGTATAATTGCAGTACAGTAAGTGAAAAATGCAGTAAAATAATTGCACATATACTGCTTTAAAGGTATACTTTTTTATAACTTAGAATATACTGTAGAAATATATACACACAGTACATGCAGAAATTCATATTTTATAAGTTATATTAGTTTTAACCTTTAAAATAGTATATATGTGCAATTATTTTACTGCATTTTTAAAATTGGTTGTTGTGCCAAGCACTGAAATTGTATCTTTTCTTAAGGTAAAATATATATCCTTAGTTCTGCAAGAAAACATTTGCACCCACTTTGAGTTTTAGTATTTCTCAATTCCATAACAGAGGCCAAGGACATACCAGGGATATATCAAATGTACAATAAGGGTACAATAGGCCATGTTGTCATGTTGGCTTTACAGCTGTTTTGAGAAATACACACGTCTTAACAATTATTGATGATTTGAGAAATGCATCTAGTGACTTGGAAAAAAACAAAAAACAAACTATAGAGCATTTTGGTGAACTCTGGTGGACATAAACGGATAACAAACAAATAAATAAACAAACAAACAAATAAACAAATTATATATATATATATATATATATATATATATATATATATATATATATATATATATATATATATATATATATATAACAATAACAGCAGAAACAACAACATTAATGTACTATAATATAGTATAATATAATATAATATAATATAATATAATAATTATTCATTTTAATAATAAAGATAGCAGCTTAATATCAAAAGTATTATTGCTAAACTAATTTTATTTTTGCTAATTTTTTCACAAAAAGAGATGTAGTTGTCTAATAAAGCCTCTTGATGGAGCTAATGCACCAGTTCAGAGCACCATTTACCTAATAAAACAAGATGTAGATAGATAGATAGATAGATAGATAGATAGATAGATAGATAGATAGATAGATAGATAGATAGATAGATAGATAGATAGATAGATAGATAGATAGATAGATAGATAGATAGATAGATAGATAGATAGATAGATATTGTCAATTATTGAAAGTAGGCGTAAATAATAAAAATAAAAACGGGCCCCGCCCACAGACCCGCCCACTCTCATCGCAGCGTCCAGCAGCACAGGCTGAAATCAGAGCGTGTCACTGGGCTGCTGCTGGATCTCAGGGCCGCTTACCATCCGGGTTCGCTTTGCCCTAGAAACAAACGCCGCTCTGGACTGACGACTTTTATTCTTTATTCCTCCGGTTTGACGTTACATCGAACTGTTGGACGGGATATTAAGGGATGACCGGTTCTACCCTCAGGAGTGCCTGCAGTCTATCGTGCTCACGTCGCATCAGCAAACTGTCATTTCCCATCCCATCAGTGATGTTTTGACAGATCGATGTGTCGTTTGAATGTGCAACAGGCTCCCGCCATATATTTATGCGGATTATGGAGACGACGGAGCATCAAAGGAAAGATGTGTCCTAGTGCTCTACATCTTTTAGCTAGTGGTTACAGTATAACCATTTATTAATGCTGTTCCCCAACGACCATGCTACTTTGAAGGGTGATATTTTATCTGCACACAACTGAACATCACATCACTTCAGACATTTTTTGTAGAGGTTTGTGTAAGAAATAAGGGGATTTTAAATGGCATCTCAAGTAACGGGGAGGAAAAGAATCCCCAACCGGGAGAAACTATCGGCGGAGGATGATGCTCTCATTCAAATAGCACGAGAGGTAAGATGAATATTAATATTTCCCGTGTCAGCTCTGTCATGCTGCGCAAAATGTCTCCCTTTCACAAGTATACTGGAGTTCTTTAAACGCAAGTCTAAAAGCCCTTACTGAATAAAGAAAGGTTTTATTGACGGCTGTACTGTGTCCAGATTGCAGTATGGAAAAACGAGCACGGATACGATGACGCACGTGTCCTTTAATAATGTGAATGGGAAACATTTCGCTCCCTCCTCCTCTCTCAATTATTAGGCGCTTGTGAATGACAAAAACACATTATTCGTCGCAGTCTAAATAAGGCCATTGTTGCTTGCATGACCTACATGACTGAAAATCCTCTGTAAATGGGTTTATTATGAAAATAACGCTCTATAAAAAGAGCGTTAGTGCTAGAGCTACAGCATCTCGGTTTTTGGATACCTGCGCAGCTGCGTGACGTCATGAAGCGAAGATCAATCGGGAAAGCGAAGGAGAAGCTCCCAGACTGCTGACGTCAGAAGCTGCTATGATGCGGCACATCACACCCAGCAAATGGCCCAAATACCCTTTGGGACGCATTTTAAAATACACAGAGCTCAAATTGTGCTGATCACTTAAATATTCCACTACACGTGGAGTCCTGAAGAGGTTTTCAGCTTTTAATCCAAAGCAGACATATAGGTTTGTTTTTAAAACGTGTGCCGTGAATGCAGAAAGTAGCCTAAATAGTGCAGGGTTTTAGTCATGCTTGTTATTTTTACTACTCGTCTATAACTGAACCTTGTTCTTGTGTTATTGTTATTGGATATCACTATAGTTGTTAATGTCATATATATCAAAAGATGTTCCATGTTAAATGTCAGATGTTTGTGTTTACTGCCAGTTAGTCCTTTACACAAATATTCAGGTTTTCAGGTTCACCTAAATACGTCTTTCGACCTTTTGGGTCAACTGACCACATCTGGAAAGCATTATCTCACTGAAGAATTCACACACACACACACACACACACACACACACACACACACACACACACACACACACACACACACACACGCACACACAGGCACACACAAGCACACACATTCACACATGCACACAATTTTGAAAATGAAGGTTCTTCAGTGGCATCAATGCCAATAGATTCCACAAACAAACGTTAACATCCATGAAACCTTGCCATTGTACGAAAGGTATGTTGTTATCAAGACCACTTCAACTGAGACCAGACCTACAGTATAGACAAAACAAGACTTATTCCAGTGTGTGTTAAAAATGAAAGAAAGTTTTCTCAAGAAAAATAATTTAGGTGTTGAGACCAAGACCAAAACTAGGTAGAGCAACACTGAATCAAGAGCCAAGACCATTATAATAATAGAAATTAATTAATAATACTATTACACATCTGTAAAACTGAAATGTTCTGAATACCAGGAGTTGGAAAAAATATATACAATAATCAACAAGTTGAATGCAACATGTGAAATGGAGCAAAACCTTCTTTAAAGTTATTCATTCATTCATTCATTTTCTTTTCGTGTATTCCCTTTATTTATCAGGGGTTGCCACAGCGGAATGAACCGCCAACTTATCCAGCATGTGTTTTACACAGCGGATGTTCTTTAGCTTATTCAATTCACCTATAGCGCATGTCTTTGGACTGTGGGAGAAACCGGAGCACCCCGAGGAAACCCATACCAACACGGGGAGAATATGCAAACTCCACACAGAAATGCCAACTGACTCAGCCGGGGCTCGAACCAGCAGCCTTCCTGCTGTGAGGCAACAGTGCTACACACTGCACCACCGTGATGCCAGTTTTGATCATTTACCTATTCAATTTTTCTTGACTATTCTGTAGCTTTGTGTAGACCAAGGGAAAGCGAAAAGTTGCTATATTCTAGGCTGACATGGATAGGAACTCTTCTCTCATTCTGAAATATAGGCCCTGATAAATTTGTTGAATAGCTGGTGCCTTTCATAGGCAAACTTTTTTTAATACAGGACTGAAATGTATCACGGATATTTACAGTAGGGGTGGCGCAGTAGGTAGTGCTGTCGCCTCACAGCAAGAAGGTCGCTGGTTCGAGCCTTGGCTGGGTCAGTTGGCGTTTCTGTGTGGAATTTGCATGTATGTTCTCCCTGTGTTCGCGTGGGTTTCCTCCGGGTGCTCCAGTTTCCCCCACAGTCCAAAGACATGCGGTACCGTACAGGTGAATTGGGTTGGCTAAATTGTCTGAAGTGTATGAGTGTATGAGTGTGAATGAGTGTGTGTGGATGTTTCCCAGAGATGGCATCCGCTGCATAAAAAATGCTGGATAAGTTGGCGGTTCATTCTGCTTTGGCGACCCCAGATAGGGACAAAGCTGAAAAGAGAATGAGTGAATGAATAATTTCAGTAGCTTAGAAAATTAAATCCAGCATAGAAACAGAAAAAGTAAGGATACTTTGCATTGTTTGCTCTCTGATCTGTTTGGTTTAATAAAACTCAGTTAAACTCTAATAACCCTTATGTACTATTGGGGATGTTTTCATCCACTCTTTTTGAGTCTTACTTTGGCCATAACCTTTTCTGTTTCAGTTAGCTGAATGATTTTTGGTGACAAATCTTATTTTGACACTATTTTGAGAAAATGCTTAGATTAAAAAAAAAAACTCAACAATACACTCTGGGAAAATTTACTACCCTTTTGTTATGTTAGGGATGAACACATCCACTCAATTAAAGTGCTGTAAAAAAAAAAAAAAAAAAAAAAAACACTTTTGCATAAATCTGTTAATTAACCTCAGTCCTGATCAAAACTACTAAATTACAAAGAAAATTGCCAAAATCGTAAATGTCACTGATTTGGTGAAGAAAACACATAATTATGTATTTTTAATATAAAAAGTAATTGTGGACTGTATTTAAAAAAATATTTTATCAAAGTCTTAGACATGTGAAACAACACTGCCTTTTATATATTGTTTTTGATTGATTTAAAAATTTTACTGTTGATGGCTATTTTTCCTTCATTGAAGCCCCTGTTGGGAAGAGGTACAATTTGCAATTTTTACTGTAGATCATCAGTTGGCACCATTAACCCTTCAGATAGGCCATCAACAGAAAATTTGGGAGAGAAAATGAAAATCTAACAATTCATTAAAGCCAATGTTGTTACTAATCGTTCACATGTCCAAGACTGTGATAAAAGGTAAAAAAAAATCCACAATTACTATTAAAAATATAAATATATATTTAGTGATATCATTTATGAATTTGGCAATTAAAGAGTTAAAATCCTGTAAATTTTTAAAAAGATTTAGTAGTTTTGATCAGGACTGAAGTCGATTAACAGATTTATGCACACACAAAAAAAATTATCTGATGCATTTTTACAGCAGTTTAATTCAGTGGATGTTTTTATCTCGAACATAACAAAAAGGTAGAAATTTTAAACAGTGCACAAGGGTTAAACTCAGTTATTAAATGTTTCTTTTACATGATAAATCAGTCCCTGAGGAATACAATAAACTCTGCATCCTCAAATATTTTTACTTTCTTTTTGTTTTTCCTTCTCACAGGAACTGCATATTCAGCCAAAGTTACATGAATAGTTTCTCTCAACATATAAAGGTAGTCATTATTCTCATTGTGATGCTGTTTAAAACCTTTTTGATTTCCATTCTTCTGTTAAACAAAGAAAGTAAATGAGACTGCCAATAAGCTGCAAAAAGGGAAGTAGTTTGTAGCATAATTTGTGTTAGTTTTCGTAAAACAGCCAACATTTTAATTGTTATTTTGTGAAAATTTTGACAAATACCTTGGCTGTCCGATTTATAAACAGCTGAAATGATTATACATTTTTATTCAGGATTTCCGACACTAAAACACTTTTTAAAAATGCACTTATGGGCATTAGTACACTGTAGAGATCAATGTTGCCAACAATCTATAACTTTTCATAATAGTTTCTATAACAGAAAAACTATAACTATTATATTATCAATAAATGTTCTATAATCTGCTTAAGCTTAAACTGTAAACAAATCAGTAAAGTAACAGTGTTCTGTATTTTGTTTCTTTTATTTGTGCTTTTGAATTGCTTGATCATTTCTCAAATATTTTGATATTGAAAAGTCTGTTTATTGTCATATTTAATAGTTTGAAGTAAAATGTTGTCAGTGTTGGTGTCATAAATTAAAGTACAAAAACCTGGTAATAAACTGCCAGTATTTGTTGGTTATTTTACATACTTAATTCTCTCTATATTATTTCGTATACAAAGGGAATTTGTTAATTAACAGATGTATTTTTTGATGCTTTTGGGAAACACTACACTAGATTCAGTGATTTACTTACAACAGTACACTGAAGAATATCAATGATTTACATTTCACAGTTCTTATTACTGTAACTGATTAAAAAAAATATATTATTTTATTCCTTTTTGTTTTTAGTGAAATAAAAAGTGCTTTGGTGAGCTAATCCTATTAATGTGTATCCAACCCTTGTGTTTGACAGGAGAGGCACAGTCACCTAGCAACTTATAATACAGCTCTGTTTAGACATGAATTAGGTGTGCAGTCTTATATGGAGTCAGGCCACAAGGCCAGCTATGTAGGACTTTGAAGGCTCATCGGTAATGATTATATTCATGATCCCTGCCAGCTGACCTGTTTTTATACACCAAGCATTAAGGAACAGCCAAGCCAAGGAAAAGCATTACAGAACAGCCAAAGAAACTCGATCACTTTTCTTTCCCCTGTTTGTTCGCTGCTGAAATGGGGCTGGGGTGTTTTAATGTGATCAGAATGGAGTTAGTCATTGCCATGACAATCATGTGAACGTCCTTCCAACGTCTTTCCCACCCTTTTTTTATAGTTGATTCAGTGTTTTTATTTGTCTTAAGCAATGACTGTTATATTATGTTAATAGGCTGTGCAGCATGCAGCTCAAATGGCTTGCTTTCACGTCCTAATGTGCAGTGATGTTAGGTCTGCTCATCACATTAGTGTCAGTAAAACGGTACAGTATATACTAG